CTATTTTGTTGGAAGTAAATGTAGTCCACATCCTCCAAATCAGACGCGATTACATCATTAATCATGGCTCTATAGCCTTCACATTGACGGTGACAAACTGGTCGAGTTCAATTTTGCAGAAATTTATACCAAAAATTCTCTCTGCTCATAAAGCACGCCAAGCAATCACCATCCAATTTATCCAGGCGCTTTGTAACCGCCAAAGTCATTTTCGGTCAAGCTCCTCTTCAATATGTGGTATGCTCCTTGATCTCTTTCCAACAAATGAATAGACCTATATTTTCTGCTAAACCACCCCCGAACAGCCCGTGGATTTTTAAGAAAAGCTTTTATTTCACTGGCCGAAATACACTCGGAGGGCTTAACATTCCCTGACGAAAGGTGAACAGAATAAGAAAAATTTATTTTCTATAAGTTAGAATATTAATCGACCTAGAATTCCAACCTTCCAAAGTGTCAATAAACAACACAAACTACTTGGCTGTTGCGGCCCCCGATCGACCAAGGAACTACTGATACTGCACACGATTATGTAGACCGAATATTTCAGAAAATTTTCATTATGGCAGGGTAAAACAAATAGAGTATAAATCAAATAACACGTCTAAGAAACACCCTTTATATATATATATGTACAATTGCACATACTACCACAAATACATACCACAAAAGTCTTCTGCAGGAAAAACCCCCACATAAGTCAGGTATGTATACAAAGGGCAATGAGATCAGTGGGTGGTTAATATTATGCGCGTATTTATCGCAGTGTGTGGGTAATGCGGATGCTTTTCCGCCTTTGTGTTGACTTCAATCGATTATATAACTAATTAAGACGTGTCGAATTTCGTGTTAAGCAAACAATGAGCAATAAGGGTGGTGTGAGGGAGTGAGGGTGGGGTGACAGCTTAATCGGCTGTTGGCCATGTTCATTGGTAAATTCATTTTTCCTAATTCGTTTTTGCTAATTTTGGCGAAATGATTATGAAGGAATTGATTACACAAAAGCAAAAAATAAGTAGGCGAGGTAGTGAGCATGAACTCAGTGACATTTAATTTAGGTAAAATAGAAGACAAAACTTGATGCTGACGTAACAACAAAGATGAGTTTTAAGCTCGTAATTAGTAAGCCTCCTTAAATTCATGCACTTCATGGATAATTTTGTTATTAATTGGACAGATTATGAAATATACTTTCAAGTTGTTAAGCCATCGAATTGATGAAAAAACTTGTTGAGCTTTCGGACTTAACTCAATGTAAGCGCCGGTCCTTGCGGCTTGCATATTGACACTTGTACAAGATCTGGGAACACTTTTTCTCTACTAATTACAGTTTTTATGTGATCTTGGGCAATCACTTTTTTATGCTCTTCTAAGCAATTTTCGAGTAATCGAAACAAAGCCTTGGTAGGCTGGTTGGGATTGAAACCTTACACTGAGGCTTCCATAGTACAAAATCTTCTCAAGCTCTGAAGATTCTTACCAGACTTAGATTGCAGTTTTGTTAATGTTGTTATCGAATAATTATCTCAGGTTGCATACAATTGTTTTTCGAAAAAATTTCCAGCTTAATGCCAAATTTTTTATCCCAAATATTAGGAGAAATGTCATGACACAATCCAAGCGATATTCTCTGTTTTTACATCGGTCGCTGATATGCTGGAGCATTCTGAGCTTTCACCATCCTCAACATCTTCATGGCCATCTTGGAAATGCCAGTGATTTTGTTTCATTAATGCGATTGGATAGCACTAGATGACGCCAGAAAGATGAAAGTGTTTGAGCACATGGCAAAGATGGACACAGCAAAGAGAAGATACGCGATAAAGCGTCAGGTCGCTGATAATGTGAACCGAATTCATGGTACTGATACTGTAACAGAAAATCATGCAAAATTGCTGTTTCGTCGATTTCCTTCTGGTAATTTTGATGCAAAGGATGAAGGGCGGATTACCAAAAATGTGGATAAAATAATGAAAATCGTAGAGCCTGACCATCATGCGAACACTGTTTCGTTAACCCAGGAGCTAAGCATTGCTGAAAAGACGGCTTGGCACCATTTAAGAAGTAGGAAAAAATAATAAAATAAATTGTCATCTGCAGAATCGTGACAAAATCGACACGGTGCTTAAGCGGATGGTGACTGAATATTACAGTCGTAGTCAAACTGCAGTGAGCAGTCTCAAACGGTGGCCAAGCCAGAATAACTGGTGAGCAAGCTCGTTGTGTGTTTGATGGGATTGGTAGCGTATTATTCACTATGAGTTGCCCCCTTATAGCCAAACTCTTGACTCGGAATTGTGCTGTCAGCGATTGATGCGTTTGAATGAACCAAACGCACAGAAGACTTCAATCGACCAGGCAACAATTTAATGCAAAACTAATGGACGATTTATTTATCTATTACCCATGCCATAACGTTTGTCGAATGTATGTGAAATAAAGTAATAAAGATAAAAAAAGGATTTCTTTAAAGCAAAAAAAAAAAAATAAAATAAAAAAATTCCTTGAACAGCGAAGTATTAAATAAAACTTAAATTTATTTGCGAAAAATATTTCTCAGTCAAACACATAAAAATAATATATAAAAATGATTGAAAGTGTCTTCGAAGATTACGAAAAATGATAGCGGTGTAAAAAATGTGCGCTAAAGGACATTAAAAGTGACAAAAATACCAGAAGCAATGAGTTTGAGAGAATAAAAGATATGAGAGTTTGCCTCTAACGGGCAACCCGAGCCATAAAGTAAAGCCATAAAACGTCACTACGAGGTGAGATAGTCGAAGAGAAGACCGCAGGTAAAACCGGTCAAATTAAGCGCGTGTCTCCGGACTTAGCGGCTGCACAAAAGTGTTATGAAGAACATCAAACCCTTATCGGCTTTCGTTTATTTTTACGTGCTAAGGCAACTGCAGCCGCGTTGGTAAATAAAAATTCGCAAATGTTTTTTCTTTTAACTGTATTTGACTGAAGACTAAGCGAAGCAAAAAAAAATCGTAAAAAAAAATCCCCATAAAAAAGGTTAATGCAAATATATTTACCAATCTAGAAAAAATATATAAAAGACATTTATAAAAAAAAAACATGTAATTCAATTTAATAAATTTTTTAAACGTTCAAATTCGAGCTTTATGGCTGCTGCTGACATGGCGCACGGCAAAGCCCCAAAAGCCCAAAACACCAGCTGTTGCCTTAAGCTATATCCAGCAAACGGTAAAAAAAACGGTAAATATAGAAAAAATAGCAAATGCAAACACTTGAACTATTCCCGAGACGATGAAGCCGCTTTTGTACTAACCAAATTATATTTTGTAGCTCGTGGCAATAAGCACATGCCAATACATATCTACAAATATCTCAAAAAGGAAAGACGCTGCAATGTCTACTTACCGCCTGGCTAAAAAGGAGCGGAAGTAAGCTCTTCAAAAGTGCCAAAAAATAAAAGCCAAAACGGAAAAAGTTGAGAGAGCCCACTTGAAGAGAGAAGAGAAATTTTCCAAGTAAAAAAAAAATATTTATGCAAATATATACATACATAAATGCCAACAAATACAAAGGGTTGATTGTGTAGGCGTTAAGACGTATACTTATCAACAAAGCTACCCTGCAGTAGAAGGGAAAATTGGTATAAATATATACTAGTTCTAAAGTAGTATTCAAAGTATGCAGCTTTAGGTAGGTAGGTAGCGTAAAGAGCCTACTCCCAAGACCGTTATATTCTTGCTTTCCCGTTGCATTATTGTGTTTAAAACACTTGGTGGTCTCAATAAACCTACTGATATTCGCCGTGTCTTTGTAGTCAGTCGTTCAAAGTTCAGCCTCTGATGCATATCAGAGAAAATGATGAAAAGTCTGTTTATTCTTTTTTATTTTTCTTTGAAGGTCCCATTTTTAGCGCACGTTCTCCAAATGGCCAATGCCCTGTTAAAATGCATTTCTGCCATATAATAAACGCGCCTCATAAAATGAATGAGAATGTCAACTCGTATAAGCTACGATTTTATCGTCTTAAAAGACTATTTCAAAGTTAATCCAAAGATTCCAGACCGGACATTTTTCCATAGAGGATCAGCCCCGAAAAGACCGACCAAAATCTTCCACTGATGACGTCCCGGCTGCTCTGGTTAAGTCCAAAACTGACGAAGACCCACGATTGAGAAAAGAAATGATTGCTTATGAATTGGGCTTGAATGCCAAGGCTATTCGGAATGGAGCCAAGTAAGTATTCATATGGGATAGACGAAGAAATCTGGTCTGGAAGAGGGCCGAGTGCGTTTTTGCTCAATTTTTCCTAAACAAATTCGAAAACGGTAAGTCTAGCAACAAAAGTAAAGCTGTTACTGGTGACGAATCTTGGTTCTATAAGTACGACCCAGAAACCAAACAGCAGTCCATGGCATGAAGCTCAACAGGAGCAAACCAACCAATAAAATTCAAGCAAAAAAAAAAAAAAACAAAAAACGCCGCCCTCAGTACCGCGTGTGGAAGTCCGCCGTTGTTGCTTTCATGAACTCTTTTCCTGTGAATGGCATTCACGATATCAAACTACCAACTATAGCCACCTTAGAGCTCGAGCTGCCTAACCCGCGTAATACTGGCGCAACTCAGCTTTGGACATAGTAGCAGATTAAACTTATCCAGACTCAACCACGACATACCTATTGTACTGTCCAGTATGTAGGAAGTCCCCCAACCACATTACAAGCCCCCCTAAAACCAAACCATCTAACCCTCTCTCCCCCTTATGTAAGCCCGTCGAAACAACTTGCTTTCTAGACCTCCCATTAGATGACCTCGAAGAAATAACTCGTCTTTTACACCTCCCATTAGATGACCTCGGAGATTTGGTAACAACAATACAACTACAGTAACAACTGGTTATTAGATATAAAATTTTTCAAAAAGTAATTATAAAAAAATTGTAAGACTCTATGATTTCAGTAAAACAAATGAATCATTTCTTTCTATTTATGCATTTATCATTTATTTTCACATATTCAAACTCTACACTTATGATCCCATACCATATGGAGCAGTACTACGCACAGGTACATAGTAATCTCCAGCTACCAAGTAAGCATTAGTCATAGCACCCATTTTCACACTACTGTATGAGGTACCACAGTCCTTTTTAACCGCCTCCTGATAGTCACCGCAACGCATACTTGGGAAGTTATTCTCCTTTACAGCCTCAGCATAGTAGACGCAAGAACGAGCATGAGCACAAGCACCCGTCAAATCCAAACCACAACCGGGTTGTTTCTTACCACCATTCGGATAGAAGGCACCCTTACCAATTGGTTTCAAGAAACCCAATTGACCACCATCTGTTTGTATGGACTCCACATATGTGGCATCATCGCTATTGAGACGCTTGTTCGGTTTATTGTAACTGAAGAGTGGCAGTGCTGGATCCAAGCCGACAATAACATTTACCATTTCCGTACCAACATTTTTACCCGTAAAACCGGCAACATGTGCACCCAAACTGTGACCAATCACCTCAACTTTAGCCATAGAGAGACCATGATATTGTGCAAGGTAATCCAGCATACTGGCAACCTTTTTGCCAGTCGGTTCTACAGCAGCAACACTGGAAACGTAATCAAGGAGACGAGCGCGTGCCCAATCGACAACGATGATATTGTAGTCGCCACGACTGAGCCAAGCATCGCGTATATTTTTATTCATAGACGCCGTGTAGCTCTGTAGCCAACCGTGTATGAGTACCCTGTTGGTGTGTGAAAGAAAGTATACGTGTATGCATTTGTATGTGAAAATATGTAATTGCGTATATAATTACTTAGTAGGATTGTCGGCATTGAAGTTTGAGTTCAAAATCGATTTGGCAGTTTCAGAGATTTGCTGTGCAGTCGATGGATTCTTGCTTGTGTACAAGTAGAAGTTAACTGGCACTAAACTCAGACGCGTCTGCGATTGCTCCTTCTCCTCATGCTCGGCAAGTAGGCTTTCACTCTCCTCAGTGGACAACCAGGTGTATGAGCCATCGGCATTCGGCACATACCAACCATTTTCGCCATGCTCACGACCCGCCTCATTAGGGAAGGCCGATACCGCGGCTTGTGTGATAGGCAGAGTATATTATAATCAGACAATTTTCTATGTATTGAGCTAATATTTACCTGCTAATGCAAAAACTGCCAAAATACAGAAAACCTTCATTTTCACAAAAGTATTGGAAATGATGTCCAAGTCAGACGAGTGCAAGGCTTTTATAGTGAATATTACCTCTTGAGATGTTGGCATTATCTAAAGCGTGCCGGATGGCTGAATGCAGGTGCCGAAAGATATCAGAGATATTAGAGATATTTGCGAAAGTTCTTTTTAATTAGTAAACGAAATAATAAAATTAAATGCGCAGAAAGAATTGATTGATTTCACTAAGTGCCATGAGTTGGTGTTCTTACCACCAGCAGAGGGGCTGAAGAAAACTTAAAAAACGACCTATTGAAGTTTTTAGTATAATCGTTCTCACTTCATTAGCTATCTAAGTCGAGATAAGAAGAATTTTGCATTTTGCTTAATTAAAAAGTGCAGCTCGCGCTAGAAGTTATCAGATTAAAATTTAAATAAAATAAATCTATGCGAAATAGAAAGCAAATTTTTTTTAATTATTTGAAAAAATTTAGTACTTAATTGCTTGCAATGGTGGAAGTAACAATTCAAAAGTGCTATCGGCCACAGCAATTTTTAAATCATTTTAATTTCTTTCAATGAGTTTTGCTGCCGAAAAATTACAATTTCCTCCTATGACCATCCAAAACTAACTTTCGTTATTCAATTTAAATTGACTTTTGAAATTAAAAAAATTCCAATCGATCATGCTGCACTAGCGATTTTAAATTCTTGAAAGGGCCGTCGATGTCCTTGAGTATTGTCAGAAAATATATTTTATAAAAATTTTTAATATATTGGATGAGTGCATAAGTTCGTGCCCGATTTCAAGTGCAAACTAAAATTGAAATTTTTTGAAGAAAGCGCTTTTATGAATCAATTATGTATTCGCCATCATGTTCGGCAATACACTCCCAACGTTCAACCAGTTTGCGGATGCCTGATTCATAGAAATCGCGCGGTTTCTCGTTGAAAAAGGTTTCAAGGTGGTTTTTGACGTCTTCCACATTTTTAATTTTTTTGTATTCAAATTGTTCTGCAGCGATCGAAACAAATGATAATCAGAAGGTGCAATGTCGGGTGAATATGGGGGATGCGGCATGATTTCCCAATTCATCTCCTTCAGTTTGGCCAGGCTCGGTTTTGCAATATGTGGCCTGGCGTTGTCATGATGGAAAAAAACTCCTTTGCGATTGGCCAAAATCGGACGTTTTTCATCAATTGCTTTCTTCAATTCGACCAATTGCTGACAATACTTGTTGGCAGCGATCGTTTCTCCAGCTGGCAAGAGCTCAAAATAGATCACGCCTCGGATATCTCACCAAATGCTGTTGACATACGGTCCACTTTGTTTTTTTCACTCAACTGATGTGGCACCCATGTATCGAGCTTCAAAGTGTACCCAACCTCTTTTAAACGATGAAACACAGTTGATTTGTTGACTTTCAATTCACTGGCAACCTCTTCCGTCGAAATACGTAAGTTATTCGCAACTTAAGTCTTTAGAACATCGTCATCAAGCTCAGAAGGCCATCCACTGCGAGGTTGATCTTCGAGGTTAAAATCTCCAGGACGAAATTTCGCGAACCATTTCTTTACTACGCGGAGTGCTGGAGCACGGTCCAAATAAACTTCGCGAATATCTTTAGATGCAGCGCCTACTGTTTTTCCTTTGCGGAATTCGTATAACATAATATGACGCATATGATCTTCCATGCGTCTTTTCACTAAGCAACTCAAATCAAAATGAAGTTATTTTATGCTTGATTTACAGTTCGGACCAACGATATATAATATGTATATATTTCTTTCACGAGCGCCACTCTCAAACGATTCAAACGGCATCCAGCGAAATCGGGCACGAACTTATGCACTCTTCCAATATTATGTTTAAATATAAAATAACTTTTGTTATAAATTCAAGTGACCATTTTATTGCTATTTTTTATATTAAAACCTTCATATACATATGAACATGACCTTGCAACCTTGTGATCGCCCACAACACGTGCAGGATGGGATAGATACCGACAGTTGAAGAGGAAAGCAGGGCCTAAATGTAGATGTTAGTATGAAGTAGTTGAGAAAATAGTCGACAAAAGTAATGCTCGAAAATTCTACGAAAGAAAGTCGACTCACAGAAGGTTCCAGACCGGAGCAGATCTTTGTTAGACAGAAAAAAAGTTCATCTAATAACCGATGCCCAGTTCATTTGGAATTTATGGAGGAAACACTTTTTCAGACTGCCGAATGGCTGGAGTATCTGGAGATGGTAAACCAAAAATCTCAATCTATGACGATGGGAAAGAGGTTCCATTACTTAACTATGTCGAAGTTCGATAGCGAAAAAACAACAAAACGGCTGGACTTGACGGCCTACAGGCAGAGATATTCAAAATTGGCGGTAATAACTGACAATGTCAGTACATCTGTTTCCTTGCAAAATCACTCCCGAATGAAAGCTTGGGTCTGCTTAGTCCATAAAAAAGGCGATCCCTCAGTCTGTGCCAATTACCATGGGATACACCACCCTTGCATCCCGCTCCTTTTTAGCGTATTGTGTGAAAGACTGAAGCCCACCATCAACAATGTGATTGGACCTTATCAGTGTGGTTTTAGATCTGGTTAGTCAACCATTGGCAAGATATTCAGCATGCGCCAAATCTTGGAAAATACCCGTGAAAAGGTGATCGACACTCTCCACCTTTTCGTCGATTTTGAAGCATCCTTCGATATGTCTGAATTCTGTACCCCCGCAAAACTTATACGGCTTTGTAAACTGCCGCTAAGCAACACTAAAAGCCCAGTCAGGATCGAAATGAACTTCTCGGAGCCATTCGATACCAAACAAGGCTTCAGACTAGGTGATTTCTTATCGTGTGACGTCCTTAATCGACCCCGTTTGAAGGATCAAATGGAGAACTCATATCAGCGAAAAGGCGGGACGAATGGCGCGCATTATTAACTTGTTGAAAAAGTTGAAAGTTGGTCTTATTGCTGAAGATATATTCCCATACGCTATTGACATTCCAATCGAGAAGTAACTTAAATTCGTTTTTGCCATTTGCCTTAGCGAGGTGGTTACGTAAGCTTTAACCACAATGTGAAAATTGAAGTATCTAAATTTTGGTGAAATAATTAGTATAGAAATCTACTGTCACAATAGTCGATGTTAACTAAGATTATGTAACTTTGTAAATTTTTATCAATATAAATTACTGTGATTTAGATATATTGAGGCGTAAAGGTCTTGGTTAATATTATAAATAAATCGATAAGTTTCGAGTAATAAACAAAAATACATCACAATCATTTTCAGGTGCTTACAGCGAGACACTGAACGCAACGATTAAGTCAAACATTATCTACGTGTATTTACTGATTATTCAAAAAGAAAAATTAAATGAAAATAAATAAATGAAAATTTACTGTGTTTTGGACATCGTTTGTTATGTGTAAGTGAGCAGAATAATCTTATCTTAAATTGTGCGGCAAAATAACTAAAGTCTAATTAATTATCATTAACCAGTTTAAAAATCCACAGTCAAGTGGCTCCAAATGAGAGATTAGGCCTACAAGAGATAAATTAAAGCAGATACCATTGAGTAAAATCGTACAATATATGTAAGCACTTGTTGTTTGCTTAACGGTTTCTTATTATGAGATTTATTTCATGTTAAAAATACACTCGGAGGGGTTGACATACCCTGCCGAGGGGCGACCGCAATTAGAGAAAATTCAGCTTAATTTTTTTTATTTTAATTAATTTTCTTTAACTTTTGGATGTTGGTGGCCGCGGCTACCCAAATATTGTTTATTTATATATTATATAATAATAAATCGAATGATTCATATAAATAAATAAATTACTTACCAAATTATCAAATGGTATATATTAAATATAACGATAACGGTTACTGTTACTGGTAAATATGTACATATATTTCTTTTCGATAATCGTGACTGCCACAATTTAATAATTTGGTAGGTAATTTATTTATTTATATTAAACATTCGATTTATTATTATATAATATATATATATATAATGGCTTGTCCTGAATGACTGGCGGATCAACCCACAGCCTAAACTACTGATTGTAGAGATATGAAAAAATTGAATTGATTTTTTAAATCGTTTAATCGTTTTTTAAATCGTTTACATGAAGTTCGAAACTGTAATAGCGTTGGACCAAAATTACCATAGGCAGCACTTTTTCTTCCAGGAAGTGGACCTGGGTCTGATAGATTCCAAACATCTTCATATATCATTTGATTTACATAAAATTTAGTACAGCTTGAGCTTCCGTTCTAAGATACCATTGGAAACAGTTACGTTATCAATATCCTTAGCAGAAGTGGTGCCAAGTAGTGAGGCTCTCTTGCAAATATACAAGGAAATATTCATTACAAAATACTTTCAAGACTTTTCTAATATCGTCACAGCGTCAGCGTGCTTTCTCAATTTGGAGGAGTTCCTGTTTGTCTTTTTTCGGTAGAGTTTACCTCACTGCAGGAAATATTTTTAATATCATTCTAAGTTATCGCATAGCAGTATAAATCTTTCTCAAACAGTAATAATTTTTACTGTTAAATAACGATACAGAAAATGTTCATTAATTGTTGATTATTATTTTTTTGTTTAAAATTTTTCGCAAAGTTCAGTATGTGACGTTGAGAGCTAGCTAAGAGCTTTTTTGGCTAGCTTTGCCCCACCTATATAGCCTGGAGCTGGCATCATCTGACATTTTCGATTGCCCCTGTGAAGAATTGTGCGACTGTACTATGATCCTGACTGAAATCTGATAAAATAACATAGACAATTATGATCAATATGCAAATGATTAGTATAAGCAACTAAAGGATATACTGTAGAAAACGATAAAACTTTGTAATTTTTCGAAAGACTAACAATACTGTTAGTTCACAATATTTCAAAAATAACAAAAGCTTGGCTGCAGTTCAAAAAGTTCATACGAAATATTATCGAAATAGTGATTTAACTAAGCTCAACTGAGAAGAGATTAATTCGAAAGTCCGGGGGACAGGATTCTTTGAAGAAGCCAACAGCACAAGTCGCTCAAATGACAATACCGAGGCAGTGTGTGAGAGTGTCGGCAATACTCCAAGAACCTCAAATCGACGTCGGGCAAAATAAATTGAAACTTCTAGAAGTTTTGACAGCGTATACTTACTAAAGATCTGTGAGTTCATGCTTAAAAATTTCAATTAATCCAACAACAGAAGCCTTATAAGAGTTTGTGAATGCATTATTGAGCTTTTTTTTGTTGATTATTGAGTACGAAAAAAGTACGAAAAGGAAAGGAAAAGTGTTAATATTTACGTTGCATGATTGTAGTATGAAACGGAAGCTAAGTTCCTGAATCGTGTAAGAGTTGCTGACCGTTAGGGATAATGCTCAGAAATTCTATGAACAGCTGTGTGACTAACTGAAGGTTGCGAGATCGAAACAAATTCTTATAAGGCCCAAATGGCAGTGAAAATGGAATACCGAGAAATGGCGATTCTGAAGTACGCAGATGATATTGATATCCTTGAGTGCCTGTGAATTTAGTAGGCAATGTGAAAGTACAATAGAACCCTCTCTGTGCGAACAAAGACCAAACTCTACAAATCACTCATCATCATTCCCTTCCTGCTGTTTGGTTCTGAAGCATTTTCGAGAGAAAGGTTTTAAGATGCAGTCGATTGAGCGGTGAGCTGTATAAGATATACGGCGACTATGACATAGTTCAGCAAATCAAGAAACAGTGACCAGCGGTATGTGGTTCGAATGAAAGAGAACTCTGCAGTTTTGAAAGTTTTCGATGCAGTACCGAATATTTGTCGGACCAGGATTTGAGCTATGAACTACCGAATGGTGGTAAGCACTGCTAAACTTTCGGCTGTTGTGTGTACTGATACTTAGTATAAGCCAGTAATGTATAAGTTTTGTCATGATGTCAAATATACTATTAAGATCCTTGATCCTCATCACAAAGGTGGCTGGATATGGTTTCAACTCACACTGATCATTTCATTGGCAGTGGACTTACTTTTCTAACACAGTATACTATATACGATTTTTCTTTTCAATACTGATGGCCAGACTGTGTGATCCCATCTTATGTATTGGGCAGGGTATACTAATCAACAGTTAAACTCTCATCGTACTATACTCTACAAAGCGATATTGCATCGCCGGTAATCCAACCGCTCCTGTCGCTTTGGTATTCTGCAAGCGAGCAATCGGTGTTTAATCTTTATAACAGTCCACTGATGGAACTTGACCTAATATATGCTGATTATTCTAGCAAAATCATCTCAATCAATGAGGCACATTTTCACCTTGCTGTGAAACATTTAGGCTGCTAGGGCAATTTAAAATCCCCGGTCTACTGTAACAAGCCCACAATCACGCGTACTTTGAAGCAGGAGATTCAACGTTAGATCAATGAAATTCAGCCACATTTATCCAGAACAGTCATGGAAAATTTACGTATGTATATTGAAAGCTGCGAAGGTCTTTTGCCCGATGTTTTACTGCAGAAACACCCTGATCCTACGCATTTCATCTTTATATAATATTTAAAAGGCTGAGTGATGGACGGTTCAAACCGCAGCCTAAACCACTCACTCAAGAGGCTTAAAACTTGGAGGGTGTGTTTTATGTATGTCGTATATGCCCGATAAGCAAGAAGAAGCAGACCTCGAACCGATCTGTTCCAAAAAATAAAGTTCAAATTTATATCTTTTTATTTGGAACATAGATAGTTCTTTGTTTAGACTAAAATGAGGAAAACTGTCTTTTCCACATATTTAATGATAATATTTTTAAATTATAATAAAAGACGTTGTGGCCTTATAGAATTATTGAAGGGACCATCTTGGAACTCTTAGCAGACAAAATCGCGTTCATTGTCTAGTGATTTAATGAAACAATTGAAAACGACAGACTGCATTTGCTATATAATTCCAAACTTTCGTTTAATTATGGGACACCCTTTGTAAGGTTTAGCCCAATCACTGATTAATTATGCTAATAAATCACATAATAATTCCGTATTAGCATGCAACAGTTATAAATATTCAAATAAATTCTTAACTAATCAGCTTAACAAGTTTTTTGTTAAAATTTTAGTTTGTAGATATTTGTATATTCTTACCCTGCTGGGAAAAGGTAGCAGTCATAAATAAGCTTTAAATACATAGATAGATATCTGTTTCACTTCCTGGAGGGAAATAATGCACTAAATTTCAAGTAAAATCGAGTAAAAGTAGTTTTTCAAAACTATTCTCAAATTTGTCTGGATATAAATAGAAAAATTTAATTAAAATCAATTCAAGTGTTTGTAATATTATGAACTGGTATGAAACCATCTCTATTTCAACTTGTATTAAACTGGTATGAAGCTGATGTAAAGACTGGCAATTGACAGTTCGCAGCACATCGACGTGTTAAGAATACCAGTTTCCTGCATGGAAATTAGATGTAAATTCCAGTTAACTACTAGTATTTTTCCCTGCAGGGTATCGGCTGTAAACTTTATCACTTTGACTGAAAGATAATCAATTTTCATTCGTCCTGAAATAAAACTCGAATTCTTCGCAATTTATGTTATTTTCGAATTTTATTAACACCTCACTCAAACCACCAATCTCAGTTCATATAAATTTTATATTATCTGATTTAATACCACTTGAAACATTTACAATTACTAAAATTTTCGGCCCCCCCATAATGGTATATAAATAGCTGGGCTTCGGGTAAAAAATATTATTAATTCAAAGTTAGTTTGCAATGAAGTTTCTAATACTTTTAACGATTTGCGTCGTGGCGGGTAAAAAAAAAAATAATGAAAAATTATTCAGACTAGTGAACTTAGAGATTTTTTCCTTTAGTTGCTGCCGGTCCCATACCAGAGGATGAACGTGTTAATGGTGAGAATGGCTGGTATATACCACAGGCTGATGGCTCCTTTGTATGGGTCTCCACCGAAGAGGGTGAAGAGCTGGTGGAGAAATTAGAGAAAGAGGAGGAAATGGAAGGACGCATCTCAACAGTGCCAGTCACTTTTTACTTGTATACAAATCAGAATCCCTCTAAACCATCAAAAATTACCGAAAGTGCCAAATCAATTAAAAATTCAAATTTCAATGCTGATTATCCAACAAGGTGAGCACAGATTCAATGAGTTGAGCGTGTAAAATTAAATTATATTAAATTTAATATATTTAACACCATAGATTCATCATTCACGGTTGGACACAGAGCTACACCTCCAGCATGAATAGCGATATACGTGCTGCGTGGTTGGCGCGCGGCAAATACAATGTGATCGTCGTCGATTGGGCACGCGCACGTTCCGTCGATTATGCCTCTTCCGTTGCGGCTTTGTCAAAAACAGGCAAAAAGGTTGCCAGCATGATAAATTATTTGAATGAAAATCATGGCATGAAATTGGATGAAGTAGAAGTGATTGGTCACAGTTTAGGCGCTCATGTTGCTGGGTATGCTGGTAAAGGTACTAAAGCTGGTTTGTTGCACGCCATTGTCGGCCTAGATCCAGCTCTGCCGCTCATCAGTTGGAAGAAACCCAATAAGCGTTTGAATGCCAACGACGCTCAGTATGTTGAATCTATACAGACTAATGGTGGTCAATTGGGTTTCTTGAAACCAATTGGTAAGGGTGCCTTCTATCCGAATGGTGGTAAGAGTCAACCCGGTTGTGGGTGGGATTTGACGGGCGCTTGTGATCATGCTCGCTCTTGCACGTACTACGCCGAGGCGGTGGCCCGTAATAGTTTCCCCAGTATGCGTTGTGGTGACTATCAGGAGGCAGTGAAGAATAATTGTGGTGCATCTTACAGTGATGTGAAAATGGGCGGTGACACCAATGCTTATGTGGTTTCAGGGGATTTCTATGTGCCCGTGCATAGCTCATCCCCTTACGGCTATGGTTATGCTTAAAAAGCTGAATGAAGATCTGATATGCAAAGACTTATTTAAATTAAAACTAAAAATTATGTGAAAAAAATACTTATTTTCATTTAACTACATATATTTGAATATACAGAAGAAAGTGATGGTAAGAATAAATCGTGGCAAAATCCGAGCTGACATCCTCATAATAAAAATAAGAATCACAGACGCTAACTTTCTTCTAATACTCGGATGGCTGTAAAACAAGGAATAGGGGAAATAAGTATTACCATTTACGCTCAATAACTTAGAGACGAGTCAGAAAACATGGCTTTAAGCAGAAGTTTCGCAGAACTCATTCTTGTTACTCATTTACCATACTGCTCTGGTATAGAGTCCTCTTTCAGTATTGAATACAAACTGCGTTGCCTTCCAAGGCCTTCATGATGCTCGCCAGCTCACAATCGCCCAAGTGAACAAAATATTTTACATAAAATGAAATAAAATAAAATAAAATAAAATAAAATAAAATAAAATAAAATAAAATAAAATAAAATAAAATAAAATAAAATAAAATAAAATAAAATAAAATAAAATAAAATAAAATAAAATAAAATTATAAAAAATAAAAGAAAATAATATAAAATTAAATTAAACAATATAAAAGAAATTATATAAGAAGAATAAAATTACATAAATTATAATAAAATAAAACGAAATAATAAAATAAATATAAGAAAATATTATTATGTGAACCCTGCCGTAGGTCGACCTCAATTAGAAAATTTAATTTAATTTTTTTTTATTTTTATTAATTAACGATAACTTTTGGATGTTGGTGGCGCCGGGATATGGACCTGAGCCTTACGAATGTCAGTACGCAATGCTAACCACTCGCCTACCGCCCCCGCCAATATTATATTATATTAAATTAAATTAAAAATTTTGCTAATAACCTCTTTAATAAGCCAGCAAATGCATAATTTTTTTGTTTACTTTTAAGTACGTATGTACGTACCTCAGGCATTTTTCCCGGCAAAAAGTCACATTTAAAATCACTTAAAGCACTCTTTATAAATACACAAAATTGTGCAAGCATAATTTCAGGCGCCATGAGGCGTATAATACAAATTCGCAAATTTTCTTATCTCTGTTTTGTCGACAGTTATGATAATGTGTTAACGCACAAAAGAAGGAGGCAATTGAGTCTTACGAAAGAGTGAGTAGCTGCAAGCATACATGTACATACATTCATATGTTTGCATTAACTCTCCGTCTTTAATGTATAATGTATGAAATTGAGAACTCAAAGCACTGACGCTTTGGGGAAGTGGTTGAATTTGTATGCTTTTAAAATGTACAACAATGATTGTACAAGTGATACACATGTTTGTGTGAAATTTTTTAATAATTTAGATTGGTTTGTTTATACATATGTACTCATACATGCATGCACGTACAAGCTCATGTCGAGTACAAAAACAATGTAATTTTGAAGCAACAGTAAACTCGGAGCAAACTTTTAATTATACAAGGGATGTGGCGGAATTTTTCACTCACATAATCGTGTTGTCAAAAAGCCTTTTTTCATTTCAATTTATACTTTGTGTTTATTCAATAAATTTATCTGCGCGAATTCTCTTTATTATATAAATATGATGGCATATATTTCATTTACTGTAGTGAATTGCTTCTTCTAATGGAATTTTTTGAAACGCTCATTGTGTTGATTTGATAAAATACACTTTAAACAGATGAGTTAAAGTTTTCTAGCATATTATATATTCTTGGCAGCTCATTAAAATAATTGTATACTAATAAATTTTGCTTCATTGCAATTTTTAAGCTCATAAAAGCATTCCATTTTTTATATTTCCTCAGCTGTAAGTGAAATGAATTATTTTATGAAGCTTTTCTAGTTTCAAGTCAAAATCACGGGGAAATTGTGTTTTGATAATTTTTTTTGTTTCAATTTTTTTTTTAATATTTTTTAATGTCATTTGTGTGAAACCATAAGGGGAATATATAAAAAAAAATTCATTGGGTGTTGTTAAAAATTTATTTGGTTGAGAAAATCGCTCAGATATTGCTTCAGCGGTTAGCAAATGCCGATTTTGTAATTAAAAAGAAATTCTGTAATTTTTGGCACTAAATGTTGTTGCCACTCTTATTTCGAGCAATGTCTTTTTTTGTGAGAAGTTTTTTGATCTAAAACGGTGAAAATTTTCCGAGTGAATCCTGGAAAAAACAGTGTCCAGAATTGATCAGTAGAAGCGGTGCTATATGTCATCGTGAAAACGCCAGATCGTATAAATTTTTGTTGATCAGGTAACAAGCGACGGCGTTTGGTTGGACAGTGTTGTTGCCGTACTTTAGCAGAAGAAGGGACAGCTAGCTAGTTCTTGTCGTCCTAATGAATAAAAACTCTACAGCTTTGAAAGTACTCGTTGCTGAGCGCGCCGGTGAAAACAAATGAAAGGAAAGACCTCCGCTCCGTTGGACAAACCAGAGGAGGTTATTTTTGTTTGGACCCTGCGGGTTAGGGGTTCAAGAATTTACCCGCGGTAGGGCAGGCCTGGTATAAGTGGCGACTAAAATCCAATAGTTTCCGCGGCAGTCGCGTCTTTATACCAGAACGACCCGGATTTTTATTTTATTTTTGCAGTTAAAACAACAACAACAACATTATTGATTAAGCTATTATTTCATAAGCGATGCCTACGAAGCCCAAACCAGAACTCAAACGCTGCTGCAATGCTAACGACTCGGTGATTGCAATACCTCAGACTATGTACTTTATTCACTGTCTGAAATTCCAGGAAAACAATACCGCTAAATGAAAAAAAGAACAGCTTACATAGCCATAACTTTCAGAGTTCAGCTGGAAAAGGTTACTTCCAAGCTCTTTGATTCATAAACTCATGTCTCATAACACTCAACAATGTGTTTCGGATTTCACTCGCTTAAACATGTCTTCAGTATCCACTGTGCGATTGAGTTTTTGAAGAAATTTGTTTCAGGAGTATGCTCAGTGTACCCAGGGTAGTCAAAATAAGAACCCGTTGTTTAGCTGTTGCAACAAAATTTCTTATTTTATTAGCTCACATACATGAACTCTACTAAGTTCTACTGTGTAAAGACGGGGTGGAAATCTCTCCGCTTGTCAATTATGTACCACAACAACTCACGAGTACTTAGAGTTGTAAACCAGCAGGAGTACTGAGTTTGTCGGTGATATTCATGGAGAAGTATGCCTACCGACCATTTTCTGGCTAATAACCTCAAAATGATGTATTAATTATATACGAGGGGATTGACCAAAGTTCGGTAAGTGGACCGAAAAAAAAATTATTTATTTATTAAAAATCTCCTCGTCTCTACTGAAGATCCTTTTCCTTTTATTTTTTTCTTTATTTTTGGAAATAATCAGGAATCACAAGGTGCTATAGCCGTGGATTATGGCGCTGTACGTGTTTCTCAGATCATAGAGATCGCAACAAAATTACGCGTTCTTTCAACAGTGAGGAATGGCGCTGTGTCATGATGTAAACAGTGGCGCCGCAAATACCCCTTCTACTTCTTTTCCAACATTCTTTTGAAAGCTTTCGGTGTGCCCTTTCCAGTTACCGTCCGACCCTTTTCCAGTGGAATAGCAGCCACGATTTTAGATCGGATGAAGTAAAGTGACATCAATAGTTTTGCTGCTGATTTTTGTTTCTTAGATTGTACGGGCGGTTTTGCTCCTGTTGGGTTCCATACCATGGATTGCTTTTGGTTTCTGGGTCGTACTTATAGAACCAAGATTCGTCACCAGCAACGACAGTGCTAGACCGACCATTGTCGAATTTTTTTAGGAAAAATGCACTCGAGCCTCTTTTTGGATCTCATTTAAAATCCATGGTACCCATTGAGCAGAATTCTTCAATTCATTAGCAGTCATTTCTTGTGACAATCGTGGGTCTTTGACAATATTGGACTTTAACAGCGCTACAGTGACGTCATCAGTGGAAGATTTTATCCGACCTTCTCGGAGCTCGTGTTCTACAGAAAAATGGCCGATACGGAATCTTCGGAAGCACTGAGAAATGGTCTTTAAAGACGGTATAATCGTTTCATATGCCATTCGGCATTCAATGATTATTTTTATTTGCTGTAAATTACGTTGAAAACCGAAGAGAACCACAAGGCGAATTTCTATTTGCGTTTGTGGTAGAATTTCGTCTGATTTATCCTCAGCTATCTTGCGTTTTCTCAGCTTCATTTTAGCCGATCGTTCTAAAGTATGAAAAGAAGACTAATAAAGTAATTGCATAGGATTTGGTATTTTTAAATTTAACAAAAACAAATTGAAAGTCACCAACCGACCGAAATTTTGATAATTCCCTCGTACATCTTTTCATATTAATATATATAATTAAATAATATATATATATATATATATATATATATATGATATATATATATATAATATTATATACCCGTATATTTACCTATATATTTTTAGTTGATTGTAAGGACTCCAACATATAATTTTTCGGGTCTCTGTCATGTTGAAATATCTCAAAAGAGCTAGTTTACGAATAAACGGACGGACAGATGGACAGACGGACAAACGAGCAAAGAAACAGGAACATGGCCTGTCATTTTAATCCGATTAGTGTAAATTTTCGGGAGTATTTTTCTTCCCGTTCCAACCTCATGCAATAAGTTTGCCATGGTCAGGATTATCCGATTACTGTCTGATATGCTACGTTTCGATCAATACTTTTTTAATAACTTTAAAATAATGCCATTTTGCTTCTTTCGAAGAACGCATTGTCCCTATATACAAAAAAATCTGTTCGAGCTATTTCTTCACCTACCACACCCTTCAGCAAAGGCTAGAACCGCTGTTATTCACTTAATGCGAGGTCCGCACCATAAGGTGGATGCATAAAAATCTCTCAATGAAGCTTTCTGAGCTTCTAACGAGTCACTATCCATGTGTGTGATCTCTTCCTTTGGCTTGATGCACCACAATTCCCCTCTGCTTGGACAAGGCTGGGCACTTCTGAGCGAGTGTTTATTCCAGACGATCCAATTCTTGACAATACAAAAACAAATTAAGAGTTTGGCCG